TGTAGATGTGAACATCGTAGTATTGGTCATTTATCATGGGTCGTAGATGGTCTTGTTTATTTATTTTTTATCATAGGGAGGCCGAATCCAGATAAACGATTCAAGGAATCACGGGGGAGGAGTTGCCTTCCTATCAGAGGGGAAAGAGCACTCGCCTCCTGAAGAGCTGACCAGCCAAAGAAAGGTAAACAAACAACAGCAAAGAAACTTAAGACTAATCATTGTCAAGGCTATCAGTAGCCACTTGCCGCGGGAACTAGATCCCCATTATTTCTTCTTGGAGGAGTCTTTCTAATTCCGTTGGGAGTTCCTCTAACTCATACATACCGAATGGATAGACGAGACTGTGCTTCGAGAGCCAGTCCGTAACTCTATTCCCTTCGCGATATGTATGAATTAAACGAACAACCTAACTCTACTCAAGCATTCTTCTAATAGAGTTCAGGAGAGTGGTGTGAGGATGTATCAGATATGTTCTTTTGTTGATAAGATCAATTGCTAGCTTGGAATCTGTTTCGAGGAGTACCCTTCCTCTAGGCTAGTTCAAGATCATGATAAATACCCCACAACTCAGCAAGAATTGCTGAACCAGTCCCTATGTTGCAGACGAAGCCAGCTATCCAATCTCCTTCACTGTTTCGAAGCACTCCCCCCTGCAGAAATGATTCCTGGACTTCCCTTAGCAGCACCATCCGTATTACGCTTGTTTCAACCAGCCTGCGACGGAGTCCACCCGATTAGTTGTTCCTCCCTTGATGGCTTGATCATGGCATCTTTAATCTCTGTTGCTCTTTTCCACGTTTTCATCCAGTCATTGGCCTTCAATATAATGTAATTGACAAGAGTAGTACGGGATAATCTAATGGCCTTGAATATATAATCATTTCTAAGTTTCCAGATGTACCAGCAAGTAAGAGAAAAAAAGCTGCCCCAGCTCCTTGTTTCTTCCATAGTGTCGTTGCTCTCTAAGTTCATTTTCTTCCAATCTTCATGACTCAAAGAAAAGAAGTGATGTTGCTGGGTTAAAGGAAACAATCTTTCCCACACTGCCCTGATCTTAGCACAGTCCCGCAAACAGTGAAGGTTCGTTTCAATGTCTTTATCATAGACGACACACTTGTCATTCGGAGAGAGGTGGCAAAATTTTCTAATGTTGTTCGCTGTCAAATGTCCCTTAGTAGCTGTCCACACGAAGAGTCGAACACGTTCCGAAACCTGAAGACGCCAAATCTTGCTTCGTAGATTGTCTTATAGGGTTCTCCCAATTACTCTCGTAGATCAAATAATAAAAGACATGTACTCAAAATTAAGTACACAATCAATCAATTAATTAAAAGCAAAAGTTTCCTTGCACTATTCCTTACGAAATTTTCTCTACGTGTGTTACTGTTCACTAGCTAGAATCATCTACAGTCGTATCTACCGCCCAAACTTCCAAAAGCCACCTTTCTTTTTTGTTGAGTTTTTTATAGGTCCTTAGACGCCTCTTCCATAGAGGCCAACATCTCCTCTTCCAATATTCCCAATATTTTATGGTTATTTTTTATATAATCAGAATTCTCAATTTCTTATGAGTCTTCAACATTAATGGACATGCTCTAATAAACATAATGAGTTATTTCTTATGTATCAAATTGCGAGACGCAAAGTTTTGCTAAGATCAGTTAACTATAACATAACATATTAATAAGATGAGATACTTTTCGTAACTTGATTTTATTATCACAACACACATTACCACAAAGGCACAAAGGTTCTACAACGTTAGGTATAATTGTGATGGTTCATCGATTTGCATTATGCAAAAATTTCAAAAAATTAGTTCATTTAAACAAACGTATGATGTAAGTGTTTCATAATCTTTAAGATACTACGAAAAAATTATGAAGGTATCTAACCTAGACAATTTTGTAAATTATTTGATTATAGTTAATTATCAAGAAGAAAAATGGTTGATATTTTAAATATAATTAGTTTTCTACCGTTGCAAAGCGCGAGTCAAAAAACTAGTAAATATAATAGTAGGAAACAATGAATATATACCCTACAGGTTTTTGTCCATTTCAACGGAGGTTACATATAGGATCGTCAAGAATTTTGAGAGGACGATGATATAACAAACTCAATTTAAATTTTTATTGTGTGGAGGATCGGACTTCGTCAATTATAAAGAGTACTCATATTTTTCTAGACTGGTGGAAGAAAGAGAGGGAGAAGAGTAGAGTGATGTGGTGTCGTTGATGATATGATGCAAATGAAGGGAGCTATTTATAGGGTTTGATGGGGGAGCGGATTGCACGAGGGAGGCACAAACAATGTGGGTCGTTGATATGTGAGGCAACAATTGTATGCTTTCCTCTTGAGCGATCCGCTTCACCTGGAACTAACTATTGAATGATCCACAAGGATCAGATGCAAGAAGGACAGCAGCTACAACAGTGATTCATTGCAGTCCTAGTCAAGGAAGGATTGCTCGAAGTCAACAGAAGACAGGCAGTGGACTGAAGTGTGAGGTTTTACACGTTTGGAATTAGCCCGGCATTTTACCAAACGATGTCGTTTCATTCTTTATTCATTTTAGTCTGTTAGAGAGCAGATTAGTTATAAATAAGCGAATCCTGCCTTGCCACCTGTCGGGCTTTGGTTAATGGATTCAACCAACAGTTAAGTCTTGTTCATTAGCCGTTGTAATCATCTTTCCCTCTTCCATATAAATACAAAACAACCAAAAGAGAGGACTGTAGGTTTTCTACAGATCCTCCACCCCAATCAGTCGCCTTCTTTCTTATGGTATCAGAGCAGTGTTCCGCCGCCCAGGACTCCTAGTCTTCCGCAGCAGCTGCATCCATGGCGACGAACGACAATGCAGAAGAGTCAGTTGCAGCAACAGCAAGTCAGCAACAGTCGACTCTACTGGAAACACCACTGGAGGATCTACAACTATTTCACCAGAGTTCATCTTTGGTAACCCTTTCTATCAAAACCCTAATGAGAACTTGTCTCAGTCTATAGTCTCGGAAGTGTTAGATGGTAGTAATTACCAGATGTGGGCTAGGTCTATTCGCATTGCCCTTAAAACCAAGTACAAACTTGGGTTCATTGATGGTTCGATTGAGGTTCCAGATCTGAGAACCAACCCTAATGAGTATAGGGCTTGGGATGCTTGTAATACTGTTGTCTTATGCTGGATTATGAACTCTTTACACAAGGATATTAAGAGAAGTGTGCAGAGTCATGAAGTGGCACAGCTTCTTTGGGAAGAGCTTAAGGACAGGTTTGGTCAAGCAAATGCCATCAAGCTGACTAACCTAGAGGATGAACTTCATGCCACAAAACAAGGAAACCTGACTATAACCCAGTACTATACTCTTGTCAAGGGGTTGTGGGAAGAGTATACCAAGTTTAATCCTATTGTGCCTTGCACATGTGCTCCAGGATAAGTCACCCCATGTCCAGCAGTGGAGGCCTTTAAGACCAAACAAGAAACAGACTACCTTGTCAGATTTCTTAGAGGAGTAGCACCTGTATTTGATGTAGTTAAGACTCAAATACTGATGATGAAGCCCCTACCCATAGTGGTTGCTGCTTATGGTGATCTACTTCAGCATGAGCAAAAGTTGATAGGAGATAAGGGTCAAAGTAATCAATCAGTTGCACTTGCCTCTTTTGGGAGCCAACCTGGTCAAGGAAATACTGCAGGGAGACCACCACAAAGGTCGAATACTTCTGAAGTAGGAGACACTTGTCTCTTTTGCAGGTATTGCAAGAAAAACAATCACACAATTGCTGACTGCTGGAAGCTGAAAAGCAAGAACAAGGAACAGGGTTCAGGAAATGGTCAGAGGTTTGTTGGAGCAGTTAATGATGGGGATGAATGAAACTCTTGAGTCTTTTTCTAATGGGGGGTCTGCTAGTCAGAGTTCTGGTAATTCCATTACTGGAAGTATCATGAGTTTGCAGTTTACCAATGATGAGCTGAACAAGTTAAACCTCTTGCTGCAAGGGGTAACAAACTCACCTTCACCATCACCTTCACCACCTCATTCACCAAGTATTAATCATGTTGCTTTTTCTACTTCACAGCAGATGCCTCATTTCCCCAACTCAGCTGGTAAATACATTCTTTCCTCATACATTCACTGTCATTCAACTTTCCTTTGTCAATCATGGATCTTAGACACAGGAGCTTCTGATCACATTGTTTGCTCTCGGTCATTGTTTGTTAGCTGTCAACCAGTTAAGGATGTCTATGTTTACCTTCCAAACAAATCTAGAGCCTTAGTTACACACACTGGATCAGTTAAGCTACCAAAATGGAATGCCTTTACACAATGTTCTTCTTATTCCTAGTTTTACTTTCAACCTTGTGTCAGTTAGTAAATTAACACATGACTTACCTATCTCGCTAAATTTCCACTCTGACTTTTGTCTTGTCCAGGACCTTGTAACCAACAAGAGGATTGGCTTGGCAAGACAAAGTAGAGGTCTATACCTGTTAGCTGCTAGTCCAGAGAGTGAACCTAGTCATTCAGTTGCCTCAGTCTACAACTTCTCTCCACAAAAGATCAATCTCTGGCATTGGCGTCTAGGACATCCAAGTTCCAACAAGTTTTTGTTAGTTAAGCAATGTAATCCCAGTGTTCAAAGTGAGAGAGTGAAACACTGTGATATTTGTCATTTTTCAAAACACAAGCGTTTGCCTTTTGCTTTAAGTGAGAATAGAGCTACTGATGTATTTGGTTTGATCCATGTTGACATATGGGGGCCCTTGGCTGTTGAATCATATGATGGTTTTCCTATTTTCTTACTGTGGTTGATGATAATTCTAGAGCTGTTTGGACTTATCTTATGAAACACAAGTCTGAAACAAGATCATTGCTTCAAGGTTTCTGCATTATGGTGCAGAAAGATTATAAGAAGTTATCAGGGTAGGGAATTTCACATGAATGATTTTTACCATGAGCATGGTATAGAACATCAGATGTCCTGTGTGGCTACTCCTGAGCAGAATGGCAGGGTAGAGAGGAAACACCATCACATTTTAAATGTGGCTAGGGCCTTGAGGTTTCAATCAGGAATTCCTTTACAATTTTGGAGTGATTGCATTCTACATGCAGTTCATTTGATTAATAGATTTCCTACACCTGTGTTGAATAATAAGAGTCCATATGAGATTTTATACCAAACACCACCTTATCTTGGACACTTAAAGGTCTTTGGCTGTTTAGCCTATGCCTCAACATTAAGAAGTGGCAGGACCAAATTCCAGACTAGAGCCAGGCAGTGTTTGTTTTTGGGATATCCTATGGGAATCAAAGGCTACAAGTTGTTTGATTTAACCACCCATGATATTTTCATATCTAGGGATGTGATTCTGTATGAGGACATTCTACCTTTTAAGAACTCCTCTGCTAATGCTGAAGAAGATACAAAACCTTCTTTTCCTGATCTTCCAACCATACAATTCCCTTCCACCACTGAGCTTTTTCTTCCTGATAGCCAGGCTCATGGGGGCCATACACAACCACCTGATGCTTCAGGAACACAGGAGGATTTTTCTGCTGCTAGTCCTGGTTCTCTTCCTGGCTCTTCCAGTTCCAGCCCTCCTTCTACTTCTACTCCTATTAATCATCAGGAAGTTGCTAGTGATTTTGATTACTATAGGGATGCTGAGCCTGACTCTCAGGACTCAGATGATGATGAACTACCACCAGGAGATGAATTGGAAGAAGATGATTTACCTCCCAGAACCAGGAAACCTCCTGTTTGGCATAAGGATTATGTCACTTCAATCAACCAAATTAGCCAATACTGTATGGCAAACTACATTTCTTATCACCAATTCACTCCACAGCAGAAGAGGTTTGCACTGAACTTGACAGTTTTGATGGATCCACCGAGTTATAAAGAAGCAGCCAAGGAACATCACTGGATCAAAGCCATGGAGGAGGAACTGAATGCCTTGCTTGAAAACAATACATGGGATCTTGTTACCTTGCCTCCTGGAAAGAGAGCCATTGGCTGCAAATGGGTGTACAAGACCAAGCTAAAACCAGATGGAGCCATTGAGAGATACAAAGCAAGGTTGGTGGCCAAGGGGTTCACTCAAATCTATGGAATAGATTTCCTAGATACCTTCTCACCTGTTGCCAAAATTAACACAGTCAAAACTCTCCTAGCTGTTGCAGCAGCTAAGGACTGGTATCTACATCAAATGGATGTCTCCAATGCATTTCTGCATGGAGACTTAGATGAGGAAGTCTATATGACACCTCCACCTGGACTGCAAGGCAGTGAAGGAAAAGTTTGCAGATTGAGGAAATCATTGTATGGCTTGAAACAAGCAAGCAGACAGTGGTTTGCCAAATTGACCTGCTCACTACTTAAAAATGGCTTCTCACAATCAGCATCTGACTACTCAATGTTCACTAAAAGAGTTCAAGGTAGACTGGTTGTATTACTTGTATATGTTGATGATATCATCTTGGCAGGACAGAAGTTAGATGATTTGGAGCTGGTCAAACTCTATATAAAGAGAAGTTTTAAGATCAGGGATCTTGGAGTTTTGAAGTACTTTCTGTGGCTTGAAATTGTCAAGAATGATCAAGGAATTGTGGTGAACCAGAGGAAGTATTGCAGTGAACTTCTTGAAGATAGTGGTTATTCAGAAGCTAAGGAAACACAAACACCTATTGATATGAAGGTGAGGTTGAGTTTTTCGAGAAGGGAATCCACTGGAAGACCCAAAATGTTACAAGAGGCTCATTGGGAGGCTGCATTATCTGACCATTACAAGGCCAGATATATGCTTTACTGTGCAGCAGTTAAGCCAATTTCAAGGGAATCCCCTGGATACACATATGCAGGCAGCTTTGAGAGTGCTAAGGTACTTGAAAAAGTCTCCAGGACAGGGGATCATGTTTAGAAAGGACACAGATTTTTCTGTCACAGGTTATAGTGACTCTAATTGGGCAGCTTGTCCTGACACAAGGAGATCCATCACAGGGTTATGCACTTATTTTGGAAACTCTCTTCTAACATGGAAGAGTAAGAAACAAACAACAGTCTCAAGGTCTTCTTCTGAGGCTGAATACAGGGCTTTGGCTCATTTGGTTTGTGAGCTTCAATGGATGAAAGGTTTGTTGGCAGAGCTTGATGTTAAAGTTGCAGTGCCAATCACAGTTTACTGTGATAACAGATCAGCTATTCATATAGCTGAGAATCCCGTCTTTCATGAAAGAACAAAGCACATCGAGATAGATATGCACGTTACTAGAGAGAGGATCAAGCCTGGTTTAATCAGGTTATGTCATCTTCACACTTCAGATCAATTAGCAAACATTTTCACTAAGGGATTGAGCAAGTTCAGACTTTTGGAGCTACTTGGCAAGATGGGAGTAATAGATGTATACTCTCCATCTTGTGGGGGCCTATTGAATGATCCACAAGGATCAGATGCAAGAAGGACAACAGCTACAACAGTGATTCATTGCAGTCCTAGTCAAGGAAGGATTGTTCGAAGTCAACAGAAGACAGGCAGTGGACTGAAGTGTGAGGTTTAACAAGTTTGGAATTAGCCCGGTATTTTACCAAAAGATGTCGTTTCATTCTTTATTCGTTTTAGTCTGTTAGAGAGCAGATTAGTTACAAATAAGCGAATCATGCCTTGCCACCTGTCGGGCTTTGGTTAATGGATTCAACCAACGGTTAAGTCCTGTTCATTAGCCGTTGTAATCATCTTTCCCTCTTCCATATAAATACAAAACAACCAAAAGACAGGACTGTAGGTTTTCTACAGATCCTCGACCTCAATCAGTCGCCTTCTTTCTTACTAACCATTGAGAGATCAAGCACGCAGATCACCTTTGAGTCGCGCGATCAGCTTCCACACCACACTATGTTGGAGGGTTTGCCATCTGAACCAATCGTGGGCTTCCAACACGAACCAACTAGATCGCTTTTTGTCTTAAACGAATTACTATTGGTTCTGTTTTGATTTTAGCGATCCATGTTGATTGCTCCACTTTCACTACTAAAATTGCTGGTATGTGAAGCGATCCATTTCAAACTTAAGTATTATAGAAAATTTTAGTGTAAGTTATGTATTATTGAAAATAAAGTAGTAGCCGAGGAAAATACATTCAAATCTATTATAGAATACGTATGGGGATGTCCTCTCTCCTGCACTCAATCCCAAACCACCACTTTCCTAACCTCACACCTATTTAGGGATGACAACAAAACTCGAACCCACGGGTACCCACCCGACCCAACCCAGTCAACGCGGGTAAAATTCGTGTTAACGGGTTTTGAGCTGGGTTTGGGTTTAAACCCGTTCACTATTCACCGGGTTGGGTTGGGTTTGGATTTAGGTAAACCCGGCCCACAGCCATATAAATAATTTTCTCGGCATATTTAATATTTTAAACAACTAATCTTATTTATGTTTGTGGAGACATGTCTAATTTTTTCTTCTTAGTTGTGTAGAATGAAGTTGATGTTATCGAGTGGAGAGTGAAAAACTTAATTGAGAGGAAGAAAATTTCAATTAATCATGTTATTTATGGATAATATGTGATTTGCTTCAAAAAATTTTAGTTTTCTAGATTGGTGTTGAACAATTTGTATAGTTAATTTGTATGAATTTTCTAGAATGATTTTTTATATATGGATAATTTGTATTGAGAGATTGATATTTGACTTTAATTTTGATAGGAACCTGTTATTGTGAATTTTTTTACGACAAAAACCCATGGGTACCCATGAACCCGTGGATATCCAGCGGGTTGGGCTGGGTTTGAGTTTTTCAAACCCAATGGATTTTACCCCGAGTTATTTTTACAGATAAACCCATGAGTACCCATGGGTTTTTGTCTATAAAAGGCTAGCAAAGAAGACAAATGGAAAAACACATATCTTCTCTTCTTCCTCACTCTCTACATATGTATTCTCTTCCTTGATACAATGTAATCGGTTTATAAGAGTATGAAATAAAAGTGGTATTACGCATTCCCTTTTACTTCGTATTATTTCAATGGTGTTGCTTATTCCCACGATGGGATAATTATTCCTAACAAAACCCAATGTGAGGAAGATCTGATCAAGTGCGGTATTGGATCCTATCCTATGCAGGGCAACTTACGAGTCGGGCTGTGGGCTATATTCATGGAACCCTCTAAAATGAGAAGGCTGGATGTGTGCCGTTGGGCCGCAAAGGCTTTTGTAAGCCCAGTTGAGGTTGGAGACCGCATTTTGTAAAGGCTTCTGATATTCTTCTTTCTTGATCCACGACAAAAAGTTGATAGGAACCTGCTGCTGCCTGCATGGGGAGAAGTGGAGAAACGGAGACAGCTTTTGTGAGGGCGCGCGTAGGGGAACACGAGAGAAGCAACAGCTTTAACTAGCACAGCAAGGAAAGGAAACAAATGGAGCCAAAAGAGAGGGATTGGAGCAGGACAAACCAAGATTCCCTCTCTCTCTCTCTCTCTCTCTCTTACCCTACACATGCATGTTGATGTTAGTAATATACAGTATGAGAGATTTGAGATATAGACACAAACATGTATTCAACAGTACTATTGTTGTATCTAGAGTTGAATGGTTTTCTTGTTTGGGAGTTGTTCTCATTCTCACTTTCCTCCTTGTCGCTGTCTGTCTTTCTCCAATTCTCCTCCTCCATCTTCCACTTTGTCATTTGACCAACAACAAAACAAAGCCCCAGTAGTCTCGGTAGATTGCTGTGAAGCATATCTATCTACCTCTGCTATGCATATATATGAAACTTGTTTTCTACAAAAAAAAAAAAAAAGGTTTAGCAATTAGCACCATGTGACTTCATTATCTTAGTTTTTTGAAACATATATGTGACATCCTTTCTAACCCTATAAATATGGCCTCTCCTTCCTTGCCTTCCCATCTTTCCCTTTCAAACTGGGGTTGCGTTGGGTTGGCAGCAGTGCAGTTTCTTGTCTTGTTTTAGGGCAGCAAACCAAAAAAGAAAGGAAAAATATCACTAGCTAATCTTTCTATCCACTGCTCTATCGTCTTTGTAAAAAAGATTCTCCTGCCCTGCACCTTGTGTCCTTGCCAACAGCAGCCAGCCATCCAATACAACAAAAACCCTACCCAACTCACAGATTCCTTTTTCTTTTCCAGTCATATAATGGTTAGGCTGTGGAGACTGGAGAGTGGTTGTGGCTGTCTGTCTCCCTTGTGACTCCTGCCTGCCTGCCTGCCTCTACAGCCTCCCCTAGCAAGCTTAGCTAACTAGAAATCCACCCAATGGATGGTTGGATGGTTGTACTACTGGACTGGACTGGACCTCCATTTTCTCTATCTCCCTTTGCTGTGCTGCCTCACTTTGCTAGCTAGCTATGTGATTTGACTTGTTGGTGCCTGGTGGTGAGTAAAATGGGGGAATCTTTCAGTCCCACATGATGAATCAGCCATATGTTATACATGTCCCATTCACCAAAGATCTTTTGCTGTACTACTAAAGAGAGCCCCAAGCGAGAGATGCTGGAACTCTGTGCAGAATTTGAAAAGCCAAGAGCCAGCTTAGTCAACCCTTATAACTAGGGCAGGAAGTTTGGTATCAGTATTTGGGATATATCGAATATCGTACCGAATTTATTATTATTTGGTATTACTGAATACCGATTTATTTTTTAGGGATTGGGATTGGGATTCATTTTGGAGTGCTATTCGGTATTCGGAATTACGGGATTGAGATTGGTATATACCGAAATACCGAGAAATACCGAATTATAAAAATTAATGAAATATAGCACACAAACATTTGTCATTCGTCACTCTTTCACAACATAGAAGCCCCCATTCAACTCAATTTTGACTTTCCAGTTTAAGCAGCTCTCGTTTCTCACCTAATCTCTTGTTATTTTCATAACACCAAAAAGCAAACACTAGTATTAGTCGTCTCTCAGCTTCCAATTCGTCAAATTAAAGATTACCAATGACAAAATTTTGAGATGTCACCTCTCCTCCATTCTCCTTATTCATATCCTAGCTCTAGGCAAACTCAAGACTCTTTGCTTAGTCTCTTTGCCCTAAATTAAACAATCAAATCTAATTTATATACTTAATTATCAATTTCAAAAGGTAATTATTTCATAGGGGATAATGCCGATTGGAATACCGAAGTACCGATTGGGATACCAAAATATTTAGGGATTGGGATACCAAAATATTTAGGGATTGGGATACCGAAATTATTTAGGGATCGGGATTGGGATTGACTTTAGGGTGTAATTCGTGATTTCGATATTTGATATTGGGATACCGATACCGTACCGATTTCCACCTCTACTTATAACATGATCAGCGTATTTCATATGAATGGAAGGTACTTTGCCTATACGTATATGTCTGTTCTGTACGTACTCGGGTAAATAAGAGGTACTTTGTAATGGCAATTCATAATGTGAAACTATTGGTCGTTTGGATGGATCAAAGTGATGAGTCAATGTGCCCCAATTGACTTAAAATGAGACAATTGGACCAAATTATCCCATTTGGCTGCAAAAAGTAAGAATGAGGTAATTGGACATGAGGCAATTGAAATTGCTTCATTTTGGGTCAATGTCAATTACTTGGGTGGGAGGGAGGTAATTTACATTACTCCATTTTGTGGGTCACTTTTCCAATATGACACCTTTTAATTAATTTATTTTTTCTTTCTTTCTTTCCCAAGATGGAGAAGGGTAAAAGAATGAGGGCAAATATGCATTTTAATAAAATGCCTCATCACAATTGTCTCATGCCAAATCACAAGCCAAACAAGACAATTATATAAACATTTCCTCATACAATTAGCTCATTTTCTAAAATGAGACTTTTGTCTCAAATTACCTAATTTTGAGAATGTTCCATCCAAACGACCCCTGACTAAGGTCTATGGTATTTTAGGTAGGTAACTTTTTCAATATCTCCCAATATTTTGAGTTATATTGTTTAACGATTTCAGAACATTATGTCTCTTGTTCGAGTTTAGAGGACTACTTTTGTTTTTAATGTATACTAGCAAAAGCTTGCTCGTTATCGCTTCGTGTATCAGAAAAATAAATATTTCAAAGAGTAGTAGTTTTAATGTTGATCCAAAAGTGAAAATAATCTTATTTCATTCTTAATCATTCTTTTTATAGGTTTGTTATTTATAATAACATATAGAACTTGCATAAGGTAGAATGATTGTCGAATATATTATTTATGTTTAAACTTCTCTCATTACGCTATTGTTTCCATTTGTATGGCTAGTGGTTGATCCTGTTGTAATTTTTGTAGAATGAAGCAAATTCCGTAGATCTTGTGTTTAGCTAAAAAACTATTAGAATTACTTTCTAATATAAAATTTCATGTAAAATGATTAAAAGTATTTCTAAAATAAAATATGAATACAAATTCTAAAAATAAAAAAAATATTTAAAATGGATCACTTTAGATTTATTTTATATTAAATAATAATATTTTTCAAATTATTTTTTATAATAATATAAATGAAAGAAAATTATGTTTTCTAGAAAAAGAATAATATATGGTAAGGATAATTTGTATTTTCAAATCGGAGCTTTTGCTTTTAAGTTATGAAAAGCTTCATCTTTTTAAAAAGCAAAACTTTAAGAGGTGTTTGGCTTGTCTTCACCTTTTGAAACATAAAACTTCTAAAATTCGGGCCAAACATAGTCGTACTCTTTTGGATTTTTTTTTTTGTGTTTGAGGTAATCATGGTTCTCCTTTATGATATTTCGGGACTGATTGCATGTTTGAGGAGATTCAACTCGCATTGGTCGGGTCAAATTAGGTTGGATGCAAATGGATTTGGGTTCAATTGTCTTTCTCAAACAAAAGGAAAAAGGCCAAATGAAAAACACTAAAGATAAAATCGATACTGACTCAAAAGTTGTCAACACCAGGTTCAATTCGCTTTGACCTGGTTGAACAGAGTTTTGAGCGAATTCACACCTAACACAAACCGCCAATTACAAAAATAGATAAAACTTGCTCCCGCCGAAAACTTGTAAACACCGGGTTCAAGTCGCTTTGGTCGGGTCGAATTAGGTTGGATACTCATGCATTTGGACTCAATTGTCATTCTCAACCAAAAGGAAAAAGATAAAAAAAATAATAAAGTGGATAAAACTCAGTCACGACCTTAAACTCTCAACACTACGTTCAACTCGCTTTAACCGGGTCGATCCAGTTATAACAAATTCACAATTTATCCAACATGTCAATTACAAAAGCGGATAAAACTCGCTCTCGATACGAAACTCGTCAACAATGGGTCAGAGTTTAATTGTCATTCTCAACGAAACGGAAAATGAGAAATAAAAAAAAAAATTAAAGCGTACAAAACTCGCTTTCGATCTAAAACTGGTCAACAACGTGTTCAACTCGCTTTGACCAATTTTTTAACAAATTAACAGTTGGTTCTACCTGCCAACTACAAAAGTGGATAAAACTCTCTCACAATACAATACTCGTTAATACCTTAGATTCGAGTTCAATTGTCTTCCCAACCAAAAGAAAAAAAGAGGAATTTATAAATACTAAAGTCAGTTTCAAGTCGCTTTTACCGAATCGAATTAATTTTATATATGAATTAATATTTGGGTTCAATTGTGATGATGGTCAACAAAAAGGAAAAGGAGAAAAGAAAAAACACTAAATAGGATCAACAAAAAGGAAAAAGAGAAAAGAAAAAACACTAAAGAGGATGAAACCGAGTCCCGATACAAAACTCGTGGTAGTGGTGTTGGGTTCAAGTTATGATACCCTTGTGTTTGGGTTCAATAGATGTAAACCTAGAGAACGATAGCTAAACACAAAGGTTATAAAATGGAGAGTGTGGTAAAAGAAGAAAGTTGGAACTTTCCTACTTGCACTTGGAAGAGTGTGAGAACCACTAATAAATAATAACTAACAACCTGGACTTTTTTTTTATAACCCAGGGAACCTCAGCTCCACGTGCCTGCTTGAGCGACAACGGGGCTTACTAAACCACTGGGGGTACCTGCATACTAACCGGGGTTTTCTGCTACTAACATTGGGGAGGTTTCGCCTCCGATACCAAGGGGGCCGCCGAAAACGTACAAATGGCACCACTGGGAATCGAACTCAGGACCTCCCACATCCAAATCTCAATTTGTAAAGTGGTTTCACCACTAGACTATGTTACCTTGGGCAACAACCTGGACTTTTATATATTAATTAATTAATTAATATGAGGAGGGAATCGTATAGGGTAGAACATGAACATGTATTTCTGAGGCGATATGGACAATGAATGGAATACAAAATAGTGGGAGAAATGAAATGACTAGTGATTGCTGACCCAACTGGCCGGCAGGCGGCCCCTTCTGCAGCTTGCACTTGTCGTCGTCGTCGTTGCTTCTCATATCCACATGGCCGGGCTGGCTGGCTCGACTGCGAGACATTCTGCTTCTGGCTTTCATTTTCTACCTTAGCTTGTTGCATTCAGTCTGACATCCTATCACTTCGAAACCCAACACAGTAAAAGGAAGAAAGGAAGTCGTCAAACCTACTATTCACTTCCTTTTGCTCATAATAATAGTATTATATATTATATTCCAACATGTTACATAGTACAACTTTTGGTTCTTATGTGTATTGATGTTTTCTAATTAGTATGTATTCTTAATTTTCTGGTGTACAACAAGCTAGCTGCTACTAGGTATGCATTCATTAGTTCTGGTATAGATTAGATTGTTTGTTACTTGTATGGATTATCACATTTTTGGTATCCATTTGGTGATGATCATATGATTACATGTATTGGGTTTTTTTACTAGTAAATATCACAAGTTTATGGTACAATTACGTTTGGTATTTCTGATAAGCAATAGCAGAAATTATGGTATGGATTGTTGTTGATTATCAATGACATACAAATCCTCAACTTCTAGTACTGATTCTGTGATTTCTGATATGAATTCATATGTAGTATACGATATGGTATTGGTTTGTATGCATTTCGCTTGAATTTCGCTTGAATTTTCTGCCAGCAAAATAGATGTGAGAATCAGTCACCATAATCTGGTCATGATCGCTAGAATATCTAAGTGTCTGAATTAGTGTCTAGAACAAAAAATTGAATTGAACTTGGCCACACTAATTCTAAGAAAGGGTGTGGTTAATTACAACAACATGCATAAGCTAAACTTGTTCACACCTGAATCGAACAAATCCTCCCTTCATGCCTCCTTAACCAAAATAAAACTCCATGGATGCAAGCAAACACCTGCAGTTATTGTGCATGTATGAGTTTTGTGGGTTTGGTGTGGTAGCTGAATCCAAAATCCATGGGCAATGCCAAATGCAAAGCTACGCACTTTGTTTCCTTCGGCTTAAACTGAAAACGCCGTTTGTTTTCCTTCCAGCCTGCCCGTTTTAACTTCATCAATAAACCTGCTGTTAGCACGGTTCCACGCGTAAGTTACTACTGCTATTGTTACATACGTTACCACTATAAATACAACTTCACATCACAGTTGATCACTTGCCAACAAATGGAAAAGAAAATCAAACTACGTAAATTAAAACAAAGATATACCTGGCATATCAGAATATCGATACTAGTTCACGAGAGAGGTGAAGCTCCCCAAATTTCTTTTATTGATCTCGATGGGTTGAGCCAATGATTGAAATACCGTACCGGAGGTTGTACATGAAAAGACAGCGGTAGGATATTTTCTGCTAAAACCGTGATTTAGTCGTTGTTCATTCGCTTCCATACCGCTAAATACCACCTGCCGATTTAACCTACAGTTGAAGGTTTTTCTGGTCAAACCACCGGTATCGTACGGTATTTCAATTGACAATCCTTACTACCTGTTGTTGATTTTCTCTCATATGCCGCACTGTGGCTTACAGAACATACATACATATATATACACCAATGACCGGCCTTTACAACGTAGGCTACTTAGGGTTAGTTTGAAAAACTACCAAAACAAGACTGCACAACATGAAAACTAAACAGCTAGCTGGGAAATGTCACGGAAGTGATGCTTTGCTGGAACTAATTCACGAGACGATCTTCATCAGTCATGATCGTGACTTTCGGAATGTCAAACGATGATTTTTATAGATACTTGATGGAACTAACTTACGGTCGAATCTTCATAAGATTCGACCGTGACTTTTGGGAAGTACATACCGCGACTTCCGATCCCCCGTAACAAATGGCCTACACATACATGAACACTAAGCAATTGGAGGACCAACTTCAATCAATTTAGTAACTGGAGCATCTATGGACTAATGTGCACAACAAGAAGGTGCCCTAGTCTCCTTGTTTGACGGACAATCAAGCTCCATCCCAGGACCCTGGCTCTCTCAAGTTCAGCAGATAGCATATATAAAAAAAAAATCTTCTTCGTTCCAATTAGAATTAGTGACTCGTCTCATCCAATCGACATCCATGAACCACTTTACCAACTATGAACAACTAGGATAGGAGTTGTTGAGTCATTAGATGGACAATGTCTCATTTACCAAAAGAGAAAAACCAGTTATGTCATTTCATTGAGAGTGACTAGTGGAAGGAGTCATTTTGAAATGACTCATTCTACACACACAAATACAAAGACTCAAAATGCACCAAATGAACCATTTGGGAAAAGTCCCATGTAACAAGCCAATGTGTATAGCAAGGTAAGCTAGGAGAAAGATAAAAAAAAAAAAGGGACAAGCAAGTTTGGTTTCATTCTCCCAGTCTCTTCTCAGCTCTTGGAATGTCCTTCAGTTGGACTCGGTCAACGCTCCAAAACAACAAGAAAGATCTGGCTATGAATAAAGAAAAACTGGAGATGGGAAAATTGAGGATTCCCAGAAGAAGAAGAAATAAAATCAAGTAAGAAATGAAAGGAGAAGAGAGGAAGCATGGAAAGGAACCACCAAATATAATAATAAGAGTGCAATCAAAGAATAAAAGGAGACTCCCCCATCTGTCTACACTAAACTAATCAAACCCCTCCATTGGTCGCGCATTTCATGATCATTCCACAGCACAAAATCTATCAAAGCACAAATGAGTTCCCTTCCTTTCATTTCTTTTCCAATCTTTTTTTTCACCTCCCCTTCTGGGAAGAAGCAAAAGCTGTGAGAGAGCAACCTCATCTCAAGAAACCGAAAATGAAGAAGAAACAAACAAAAATAATATTTAATCCGGATCTAATCAAGGGGAGCCATTGCTATCAGATCTATCAAAGTGAAGGAGATGGCCACAGCATTTGGGGCAATCCTCAACCTGTTTAGGGACCATGAAGTACATCAGGCATCTCTTGCATCCTGCAACAACCAACACATTGTTGTTACCTTCTTTCTCCACCTTACTGTTATTGTTGTAATGGTCTCTCGAGGTACAAGGTGACGACTCATCGCTGTCGCAAGAAGAGCTACCATCATCGTCGTCATCTTCATCATCGTCATCCGAGTAGTAGTAATCTCCATTCATGTACTCTTGCGGTGTTATCCTTGGATCTTCATTTGCTCTCATCCCATTCCTCCAGTTTATGTAGTATATCTCCCCTGTCTGCCATGTTCATCACAACAACCAACTAGCTAATCAACTTCTGTTATCCAGAAGAATATCCACAATGTAGATATGAGAACTAGTGTTTTATACCATAATAACAAGCTATCACATTTAACAAGTAACATGGGGCTATTCATTAAACAAAAGACAAGTAACATGGGCCTCATTCATATAAAGCAAAGAAGAAGAGCTTCTCTTCTTTATGTTAGAATGTATGCTGGGTTTTGAACCAGATCATGAACCAATCCATGCCAATCATAACCCACAATCATGATATGCATCTCAAAACAGCCTTCCTTGCATAGACTCTGAGCAATGTGATAAATATAAACAGATAGATATCTAAGAAGCAACTGAACAGAAAGGCCACACATGACACAACCCCTTTTATACAACTTTTCTCCATCCTCTTTTTGATTTTTTTCATCCTTGGAGTTGAAAGTGGGGTAAAAGGAACAACTCTTTACCAAACCCACTTGGAGGCAAAAGGTGCAGTGAAAAGAAATCAATCAAAAGGAGAGGCATTTCAATGTGGGGGAAGGAAAATGCCAAATGTTCTTTTTGTTCCCCAAATTCTCTTCTTTTCCTCTAAAGAGCTACCCAGCCAATCAATCCGATGAGTAGTAAATGTAGCAGCAGAAGGGCATTCAATTCAATCCATAAATGCAAGACACAAAGTAATGAAGGAAAGAACACACAGTAGCATTGATTGAAGACGAAGACTGAGTATTTAATAAAACTGAACCAGACCCTTTTGTTTCCCCAGACTGTTTCCTTATATGCTTTCAACTCCCCAAAAGAAGCAAGATCTGCATTTATTGACTGTCTAAAAGAGCTACCAGAAGGAAGAAAAAAAAATCGGTTTGGGCAATGAAACCCCAAGGAGGAGGAGAAGGGAGGCACCTTTAAATCGAGGCATTGCTCCCAGTGGTAAGGGAGGGAGACATCGGAGTTGAGCTCGATAGCTGCGTCATAGTTGTTGTTCGATGACGACGAAGAATGCAGAGGTGGGAGATGAGGGTTTTGGCGCTGTTGTTGCTGCTGCTGCTGATGACGACGGTGATGATCCGGCGCGTCGGTCTCGTCGGAGCTGGAGGATCTCTCGGTATCGGCGGCGGCGTGGTGGTGGTGGTTGAGGGAACAGTTTTGGAAGGAACGCTCGAGGGATGCAGTGATGGCAGCCATGTTTGGAGCTGTCATTACTTCTCTCCTTTTCCGATCTTCTCTTTCCTGGCTTATTTCTTCGCTTTGCTATTGTTGGGTTGTTTGCTACGGAATTGGGGGAAAGGCCGAAAGATTGTTGTTATTTATTATTAAATCATCAACGATGGAGAAAGAGAGAAGGTGGGCGGAGAGGTTGAGATTTGGAAGGAATCAAAGAACAAGAACCAGCTGGGAGAGAAGAAGAAGAAGAAGAAGAAGAAGAAGAGCGATGATAATAAGGGGAAGGAGAAGCCCACCATCTGAATTTCGATTTAGAAAAAGAAAGAGTGAAGAGAGAGAGAGAGAGACGTGCGGGGAGGAAGGATTAGATTAGTGGGGTGGGAATTTGTAAAGTGTCGACGCGCGGTTTCGGAACGCGCGTTAGTTAAGGGTGCGTTTGAGATTATTTGACATTTGATTTGACCATTCTTATAAGAACCGAACCGGATTAACGGCCGAACCAGTGAAATCGCTAAACTAGTTACGATAGCGGTTCGGATCATTGTTTGGACGGTTATTGATGGACCAAATGGGTTTTCACTGTTCAACATAAAATCAGATGAATCACCACGGTTTAACTGGTCCATTGGTTCACTTTTTTAACAAAAAAATTTTAAAAACACTTTAACATAAACTAAGAGGTCGTTTGGAAGTTGCGATAGTTTTGTTGAGATTGTCATTATGCATGTATTGTTTACAATGCATCATTTTTTTTGTTTTTTTAGCAGAAACAATACATGGATTGTTTCTGTGATGTGACAGAAACTATCACTCATTTTGAGTGATTGTTATATCTCAACTTTTAGTTGTGATTGTTGAGATAGTTGAGTTGAGATTCTTTTGTCTCAGTTTTTAGCTGATGCGACATACGCAATCACACATACCAAACGTTGTATTCTACAATGCATCAAATTCGACAATACATGTATAATATTATACATGCATTCTCAACAATACATCTATTTAACAATCACAACTTCCAAACGACCCCTAAGATCATCAAACCATAATTATTAATTTTATATATACTTCATCTTCTCATTCCAACCTTGTTGTCGACTTTACGTTGTTCACTACCGACTGGCAGCAAGATTTTTTAATTTGAATTAGAAAAATGATATCTTTTGTTTATGATCAGTGATAACATCATTATTAAATTAGTGTAATATACAAGTTTTATATGTTATATATCATGAACGGTTCTATCAACGGTTCACCATTGGTTAACTACTGAACTCTAAATCACTATTTTTTTCAATTCAGCCTCCTGTCCGGTTCTGAAAACAGAACATTTGACAAAGATTTGATGAAGGGAGAAGAAAGTTGGATTATTTGACAAAGATTGTTAATTATTTGTAAGGATGGCGATTGTGCTCACAAATCATAATATGTGGGTATTTGAGGTTAGAGTTAGGGTTGTTAATAAAACAAGCTTCTTACTAACGATTTGATGGTCAACTCGATAAAAATTTATTTAATTAAGAAAAAAATGTTCATTTGTTCATTAAAAAGTCGAGGTCGAGCTGAGCCTTGTTTAGCTTGTGATGCTCGTGAGCCAACTAGACTAGGTGGCTTGTTGAGGTCAAGTTGTGAAATCTCTTTGTTTTGAGCTTATGAGATGTCTCGATATTGTGATAGTGATCTGAAAAAATCGATCTATATCTTATGAGTTGGCTTGTTAATAATTCATAGGTTTATTAAATGTTATATCTCACATGTTTAAGATTTGGAGTACCGTGAACAAATATGTCTCACATATGACATGAGATCGGTTAATCAAATGTAAATGTATCATATATGACATATAAATATTAGGATTTAATTTATAAATTATCATAGAGTTTAACTCGAGCGGAGTACCTGATCTTAATGATGAGTCAAGTAGGTTTTAATAAATGAGCCAACTCGAACGCGACTCGACTCAGCTCGTCTGTAAAAGAGCCAAGCTCGAGCTAGCTCGTTAATTAACGAGCCAAAGCGAAACAAGACAAAACTCGACTCGACTTGGTTCATTAACAACCCTACCCATGATTATGCGCAAGTGCACAATTAAATCTGGTCCCTTGGTGCTAAGTAGGACCAGATATAAAAGGTTGTATTAAAACAGTTTTAATTTTTCTTACTTTTTTTAATAAGTTTGTTTTTTTTTGTTTAACTCGAATTAAAAAGATTTGCATGGACGGGATCAGGATCATTATGAACTACAAAATTATATATTTTTTGATATAATCTGAGAAGAAAATTTTTGTACCACTCTTTACCATACTGGTACCAGTTGGTATCGCATTCGATTTTTAACAAAATTTTGTACAGAAGGGATGAGTCAATCGTAATCTATTGTGATCTACATATTTATGCAAAAAAGATTTTAAAACCAAATATACCACCTTATTGTATATTTCTATGCGTATACAACAATTTCACACTATGGTATATTTGTACCTCCTTGCTACACTTTCATATAACCATAGTAATCTTATGTAATACGATGTATTAATTACAACCATGGTATAGACTAGTAGTATATGACTAAATTTTTTGTTCCAAAATACATCAAAGTGTATATCATTTTGAAAAGCACGATCAATCTTATATTTCTATGCAAAAAATTGAATTTCAACTTAAAACAAGTGAGATGCAGTCCGTCAAATTGAATTAGAGAAGAAGTTATTGGTTATTATCCGTTGGTTACTGAGGGTTATGTATAAATGAGTTATTGATGAGATATGCTCCATTGTACTGGATCTGGTTAATGAGATGGGTGACCTCTTGGAAAGCCACCATGATGCACCCAAAAAACAAAATCTTTGCGGGGATAGGTCTAAAGCAGGCAATCTCTTGCTCAGAAAAGGGTTGGGATGTTACAAGTGATAGTAGAACTTTTCTCTGTCCCTCTTGAACAATGATGAGACAAACCTCAATGGGGATGTTGAGTCCCATAAGGGGGTTGTAAAGTGACACTTTAGCAAAATCTCCATCGAAAAAAGCATTAGAGATATCTATGGTTCTTAGGGAGCAATCTAACATCAACTAACAACACATATTTTGGAGTGGAATGAAGTTCTTGTAAGAACCCTTCAATTAAACATGCTAAGTATGGATTAGTGGAGAAATGGGTGACCTCTTGTGAAGTCACCACAATGCACCCAAAAGCAAAAATATGTCGTGGGAGCTCCAAAACGGATAATCTGTTGGTCAGAAAATGGTTGAGATGTTAAATAAATGTAATTTATTAGCCAAACCTTTCAATTTAACAAAATATTAGTCAAATCTTTGAATTTACAAAATATTAGTCAATTGATAAATTTTCGTTAACATTTCTATTAGATGATGTTGAGCTAGGCTAAAACTCGTCCACATCTCCCTCCTGTCCGAACGATCATCTCCCGTCGTCTGATGCTGAGTTGGAAGAGTTTATGTGATGTGGTGGTAACAAAAAGAAAAGGTATATACAACTTCATCCAGAATTTTCGACTTTGACAAAATATTAGCCAAACATTTTTAACTTTGACAAAATATAGTCAAACAGACGTTTGAAAATACAAAGTAAAAGCCAAATCTTTCGTAATATTGTAAAATTTTAGTCGTTGATCTATATGTTATTGTCAATACAAAGAGACGAGGTTCCCTTTGTGGAGCGCGTCTCGACGACAACCACAATATATTTTAATGTCATCGTGGATTGCACTATTAACTTGGATATACGAAAGAGTGTGTTAAGATTCACAAAACATGTTGTGGATGAGATTTGTCTAATATTTCATCAATATTAATAGGTTTGGTAATAATTTCTATCTTCAAATGTTTTGCTAATATTTTTTCAAAATTGACATGTTTACTAAATAAATTTTAGTTACTTTTAAAAATTAAATTAGCTCGCTTTTTTGTGAAATATGACGTGACATGTGATGTGGAGCGCCGTCAATATTTGTTATTAACGATAACATATCAATGACTAAGATTTTAAAATATTACAAAAGAATTAATGATATTTTATTTTTAAAATAGTTTGCCTAATATTTAGATGATTTATATAATATATTGTATGGGTTAATTGCAAGGTTGGTCACTGAGATTACAAAAAACGTTCAAGTTTGGTCACTCGAAAAATTTATATCCATTGATGGTACTTCAGTTTACGCAAACTGTTCACGTTTGGTCACTCTCCGTCCAACTCCGTTAATTTTTCTAAGATCGAAACCAACACGAATCGAGACGAGTCCGGTTGAGTCGGGCCACCACGGGCGAAATCACTGTGCCGTGTGATGCATATTTTGTCTCACGTTTGACAACAACCCCTCTCCCCTCCCCACCACCGATTCCTCCTCGGCTCTCTCCCCTTTGCATCCTACACGCGCCACCATAAGCGCGTCTTTGCTCCTTTTTCAGCCCCCCCTCTTCCTTATTTTTGGCATAGTTAAGCGGTAATTAGTTGAGATTTGTTTAATTACCCGCGTGGCCATGCCAAGGGGTCGGGATGTCTGTTAGGTTGAGGGTTTGGTTTGAGTTTATTTGGTTAACACAAATTTATTAATTACGGTGGAAGAAGAAGAAGAAGAAGAAGAAGAAGAAGAAGGGCTATTGTAGTAAGTAGTGGGCTTGGTAAAGGGATTTCCGTTAAGAGCCAATTGTATGGAACGGGTAGAGGTGGCAAATGGATTGGATTGGTGGATTGGATTGATGGATCCATGGATTGGATCTAATAGATTGGTGGATTCATGGATTGGATCAAGTGTATTGGTGGATTATCCATGAATCCAAATGACATCCTCAACCAAGGACCAATATGTAAAATGTAAAAAGTTTAGGGACTAAAATGTCATAATGAAAAATTTTAGGTAACAAAATGTAATTTTCCAATGATATTTTTCGTATAAAAATTAAACTTTATGTACCAAAATGTAAAAAAAATATTATAGGTACTAAATCGTAATTTGCCAATGATCCATGGATCCAATCCATGAATCTACCAATCCAATTGGATTTGGATAAAATGA